TGTAGACTCCAATCGCGTTGAAAGGACTATAACCTCAGATCAAATCAATGCGGAAGTAAACGGTAAAGTAAAATTTAAAGGCATTTCCTGCAAAACACTGACCGATATTCCGCATCGGAAACCACAGTATAAATAAACAGCCGGACAATTCAAATAAACTCAACACAAAAACCGTAATACCGATGACAAAAAGATTACCAGACAGCGTCAGTAAACATGCCACTGTATTCACGAACATGGTTATCGATGTCGATATTTGGTTTTATCGATAAGTAGGGATGTGCAATTTCGTTTTTAAACTGTATTTTTCCTTGGATTTCCAAATTAAGGTGTTCTCTTTAACGGTTTTTGATCTTGGAAGCTACGCCTCGTTCCGCTGATCTGACAGATGTCAAAATTTAAATTGAATTTCAAGTCAAAGCGTGAACATTTAAGACATATTTATGTCGTTTCAGTATTCTACTGTTAGTTAATATAATTAGAAATGTTTAGCTGACTACTTCTTTTACTGTACTACATGTCATACATATTAGGTAAACTAGCCAGTTGCACGCGACTTCATCCCCGTAAAGTTCAAAATAAAAAGCCTATGTCACACACTAATAACGTAGTTTTTGAATGGTGTAAGAACTTTTAAAATTGTCCCAGTAGTTTTTGAGTTATTTCAATAATACAAAAATACAAATCTTTCCTTTTTATAATATTAAGTATAGATTAACTTACTGAAGGTAAAGGGACGGTCTTATCATCAGCTTTCCTTTGTCCCTAAAGAGTGTGGTCACAGTATGTGCTGCTTTCACACATCTCTAACAGCCATCATATCTGAAGGCTCTCCCTTAAGCATATCCTCTTTCACACAATCCATCAATACTTTCTTGGATCCTCTACTTTGTAGCCATTCAATCTTAATTTCTTGTTTGTAGTCAGTCTTAAGCCGTAACATATGTTTTACGTGATTATTCGACCACATGAGTATAAAAATTACAATTTAATTGTATGTAAACGAGACATTTGGCAGAGAAAGTTGCAATATATCGCTTTTGGATAATAAAGATTGTTTCCGACGGTAATTTATGTAATTCCGAGAGAATACGGCGATATCTTACGATATTCGATTTGGCCACGTTACGCTACATAAAGTTGAACATAAACTTCAAGTGAAATCAGGTTAGGCTCTAAAATACATTGAAATCTATATTTGGAGCTTTACAAGAAAATTTTAGTGTCAAGATTGTCGAAACGAGATCACAATTTCAATAATAATCCGCCACTAACATTTCTCCTTTCGTTTTTGATAAATAAAGTAAAAACTGGATTGAATTTAAAAATTCCGTCCCCATTAGAATACTACATCCTTGAGTTATATGAGGCTTATACCAAAAAAATCGCATTATTTGCCTCCTATGCGAAGCCGCGGCAATTCAATAGTATACAAGTCTTCAGAATTTTAAGTTAAACTTTTTGAATATTAAAATATTTTAACATTATCTCCCTGACTTATGCAAGCTATGTAAGGGCCCCTCAAGTTTTCATCTTCTAGATCAGTCTATCTGTCGTCACTCCCTTTTTGTCACCTCTCCCCATCCCTTCTAGACCTACATCTAGCAATATTATTAACAAAATCTGTTGTCCATAGAATGCAACCGTATTACTCGTAACAAAACCGGTCGCATAATTACAAAGATATTGTCATAAAGGACCAACAGATTACGAACGCCTTTCAAGTCCCAAGTTCGAGGCAAGGTCGGCCCCTGCCTGAGGTACTGATCGCAAAAAACGACATAAGAAAAACAGCTATGGAAAAAAATGAACGCCCTTGTACAATTGAATGTTACATGATGGAAAATAGCAACATTATAAAATAATATAATGAATAAAAATTTAACATACCTATATAAAATTTAAAAATCTGAATTTAATACCATTTTGAACATTGTTAACACAGTAAGTGAAAATATAAAGTTAATGTTGAACAAAAAGGGTCGACTCGGGCGCCATCTGTCGTCTTTACCCCACAACCAGGTGTCTCGTTACAACCGAAACAGGACAGATTCTATACCACACACGTGACCAAAAACTGACTGAAAAGTAATTTGTAATTAGACACTGAATAAATACTAACGAAATCATTCGAAATAGGGCACTTTAAATACTTAAGATGACCCCTATAAGAAAGTTGTTGCTGAAATCGGAAAACAAAAATGCTAAAATAAAGTGGAATGCAGACTTTGGACAACTGGATAGAGCGGCGAATAGACAAGCGGATGTTTATTATAGTTTGTTGGCTAAACCGCTGAACGGATCTCGATGAAATTTGGCATTAGATGTAGAGAGTAGTCTGAACATTGGCTACTTACTTTTCTTAGTTCCAAGCGGACGTAGTCAGGCGAAAGCTAGTGGTACATTAAAAAAACGTTTAAGAAAAATATGTCTATGCGAAAAATGTACTTACGTTTTAGTTACGTGCAGATATAATCTGATTATATAAAATAAATGCTGACCATACGTTCTGTCCCTTCTATTTACTTAATAGCCTTCAATGTAACAATTACTTAGGCCACAGCTTAAAATAACCAGTAGTATAACTAAAATAAAAATCAGAGAAAAGTATTTAACATAAAAAATATGATTGAAGACCAGTAACCTACTTTCTGTTTCATATTTGTTATAGCAATTCTCGTTATTAAAATATTTCTTATTGTAAAGAAGAAAATTAGTCCTGACGTCACCTCTTTATCTGACAGCTGTCAAATTCATTAAATGTAATGGAATAGCGCGCAATCCTGGCGGGATATCTAGTTTTGAGTTTTTTTTAATCAATCACATTAGTACCAACTGTATTAATTGTTAAAAATGGCAAAGAATCGTAAAAAAAAGTTGTAATTTCTAAAGAAAACGCAGTGATCTGCAATGGTCATACTGTGTTTGATTGCTCTGTGGCGTTACCTTAATAGCAAGGTAAATAGCTCTGCCCTTGTTATTTAATAGGCTACCGATCGGCCAAGTGCAATATTTAAATTATAACTGTACTTAAACTTTTTTAAATTTAACCCTTTTCTTGGTAGTGTATCTGTAGAGATACATCAATTTTTTTTTCTAAACACTTTAGGTCATCAAGGTTAAGTGCTATGAATATTATTTTGATATTTGAAAAAATAAAATTCTGCCAAGTTAAGGGTTAACGAGAGATTAAAGTAAAATTTATAATTTGTAAAACTTATTTTTTTAATACTAATGTTATATGAATTTGCTCAAATTTTCAAAGCTGTTTTAAAATTGTAAAATTAATCAATTAAATTGTTAAACTATCACTTGAAATATTAATTTTAACTTCTATAAACGCTTGATATTTTTTATTCTACTTAGGGCCTGTCCCACCACTTGGTGATAGAGGCTCGGATAGTTTAAAAATAACCACACTGTCAGATAAGGTAACAAAATCCGATATTTCCATCACACATTTTACACGTTAGATTGTTATCAGACAATTTACAATTTGGTGGGACAGGCCCTTAATCTATGATAGGTACTCTATCACAGTGGGAATTTACTTCAATAAACGTATGTTTAAATAGGTCTAATATGAATAGATTAGCATCATGATAAAATTACAAAACGCGAACTGTATGTCAAGGCGAAATTAGAATCGATTCGCGAATTTCGCAAAAAAAATATCGATAAAAAAATCGATTACGCGACACCGGCCGGACCATAAAAGAAAACTCTTCGCTTTGACCATTTGACACGCAGACTGCGTTAATTTGTGATTTTGGTAGAAAAAACAATGCTGCCAGCAACAAAAAGTGTAATTTTATAATACAACAATGAAAATGTCTATAGGCCGGTTTATTTTTAGATTTAAAAACGATCCGTTTCTACGCGTGGAAAAAAGCATAGCCTATGTTACTCACGGATAACGTAGCTTTTTAATAGTGTAAGAATTTTTAAAATCGTCCCATTAGTTTTTGAGTTATTCCAATACATACAAAAATCCAAATGTTTCCTCTTTATAATATTAATATAAAAGTTTAGAAGAAAAATATCATGTATGGTAACTCATATAAAAGTAAACTTACCGTATATTTTTAATGTTTCATTCATTTTTACAAAATATTAACTAATACAAATCCATTACTAAACTTTATGCAACTTTTACATTTTTATTCTGACAGTTGCCGTCACATTTCATTGTTCAAAACATTATCTTCGTGAGAAAATGGTAGCTGTAATAATGTTAATTGTCTGTTAAATTAACGAATAATTACGATAAGCGAGAGTGGAGGAAAATCTTATTACAAAAATTTTTATACTACATTCTGTGTTTCATTAACATACTTATTCGCATTTATGAAGTTAAAAGCAAAATTTTATTAAACAAATATAAAAATACACTCACATAAGCCGAATGAATCCGAAATTTCAAGGTCATAAAGATATCAAAACATGCTGTAATTTAGTTGTATTTAAAACGATTTATTTTTATGTCCACCCAAGAAATGTCTTACTAGAATTGAGTAGCTAAATTATCACTAAGATAACTGTGGATTAGTGCAGGAAAACGCTAAGGGATTGGTTAAACCATTTAAAGACCGAGTGAAGCGTACCTATGTTATTTGTATGAATTTGGTGAAAAAAATAACAGCTCGCCACGTCGGCTCATCCCAAACGCAGGTAACCGTTTCGCGCGATCATCTTCCAAATTGCTTCAAAAGAAAACAACTTTCTGCGATGCCGTAATCAATCTTTAACCACTACCTTCGGCTGTAAAATGTTTGAATTCAACCAAAAGTTGGTCAATTCTACAACATCGAATCATTCGTATCTAGAACGAACTAAAATATGCTCTAAATTACTCCAAATAAATTAGAAATGAGGCTCAAGTATACAAAACAGTTCTGTGTCCAATCAATCGAGACGACAGGTTTTTTTCCGCGAATACGCACATCTTAGAACGACAAACTATGGTAGGAAAGTACAGTTAATAAGTTTTGAATACTCACTCGACGTAGTTGTTTAGATGGGTGGGGTGTATTTTTTCTAACACTGTCATTAACTCACGAGTTCTCAGTTCACTTTAATGCACAAAACGTTTTTTATACGGGCGTTTTACTCACAAGATAGTTCTATGATGCGGTAATGTCGAGCACTTTGTGTACCTTACGTGTATGCAACGCGGCGGCTCGCGGCGGACTGACGCGGGCGGTGGGCGGCGAGGCACGGCTTCGTCAGCGGTCACATCTCCCACTCACAAAATACGCTCAATTCAAAGAAAGAAATGTTATTTTACAATATTTTAATGTATTATTTACCATATATTAGATTTAGATAACAATCCGGCGTATGAATGAAAGTAAATATGAATGAATCTTATTTTAAAAGTTAGTGACTATTTTCGATGACGAGTTCTATT